ATACCGCAGGCAAGATTTGGCCCTGTTTTGGAAAAGGCCCTGTTTTGGTACTTAGGTCGGATGAGAGGAAGGACTTCCAGGCTGACATGGGCATTGGGCCAGGCAAGTGACCCCAGGAGAGCCGCCTCGTTAGGTCTTCTTCTGGCTTTCTAGTGCCTGGGAAGGAGCAGGGGAGAAATCTGGCTCGCAGGGAGAAAAAAGAAATCTCTAGAAATCAGGCGGGGAGCAGAGAAGAAACCAGGGAGAGGGAGCAGGTCCTGGCGACCCGGGTTCCTCTGGACCTCTGGGCCCCGAGGGGTGGTAGGTGACGACCACGCCCCTCTGCCTCTCCCAGGTCCTCAGCCATCCCTCTCACCCGCCGAGCAGCACCTAGAGTCGCCGGTTCCCAGCGCCCCGGAGGCCCTGGCGGGCGGTCCCACCCAGGCGGCCCCCGGGGTCCGGGGGGAGGAGGAGCACTGGGCCCGCGAGATCGGGGCCCAGCTGCGGCGGATGGCGGACGACCTCAACGCGCAGTACGAGCGGCGGGTGAGTGCGGGGGAGGGGCGGACGGCAGGTGGGACTTCCCGCCGCGGGAGGGGGCCGCGGGCGCCCCCGCCAGATGTGCGGCAGCTGCTGCCCCGCGCTGCGGGGTCGCGCCGGGGACAGGCAGGTGGGGGGCGGGGCGCTGGGCCCGCGGAGCCGCCGCGGGCCGAGGCCTCCGCGAGAGCCGCGACGCGCCCGTGGCCCGCGGCCGCGGGGACTGAGGGCGGCGCTGGGCGCAGCGGCTCCTATATCCCGGGCTATTTATAGCTGGTGAGTCAGCAGCGGCGCCGCGGCCGCGCCCGCCCCTCCCTCCGCCCCTCCGCGCTCCCGCGGCCGCGCGCCCTCCCCGCCCCTTTCCTCCACTCCTCCGCCCCGCCCCTTCCCTCCCGCCCCGCCCCTTCCCCCGCCCCGCCCCGCCCCGCCGGCCCGCAGCGCGGCCTCCAGGAGGAAATGCGGGCGGCCCGCAGCCCTCCAGCCGGCCAGCTGGGTTCGGTGTGAACATCACACCTGCGGTGTTGGCTGGCCCAAAACACGAGCAAAACAAAAATGCCCGCGATGTTTTGCCCCTCCCTGATCCCTTCCCTGCCCGCCTGGCAGAGGCGACCTCAAGGCTGTGGCTCAGGAGTAGAGCCCTTGCCTAGCATGCGAGGCCCTGGGTTCCTTCCCAGCACAGGACTAAACCCAGCAGCAGCAACAACCACCAAAAACAAAGGAGACCCCAGGTTGGTGTGTCTCCCCTGCAGGTGCGGATTCTTTTCCCACATACAAGGCCAGAATCAGTTACTTAGGATAGTGGGGCCTTTCACCCTAACAGGCATGATCTAGTCTGGGTACCTCTCCAAACTGCTGCGCCCGCCCCCCACTCCACGTTATCCTTGAGAGTCATCCTCATTGGCAAAGGTGCTAATATCCCATAGAATCAACAGTGTCCTGATTCATTTTCTCATGGTGGATATTTAGGATACATGATTAAATATATTTTAAATTTTACTTATTTTCTATCCCCAAAGATGCACACCTCCAGGTGCACCTATGTGCAGGTACCTGGGCGCCCTGTGCTCCTCCCCATAGCAGTGTGTCCGTGGCAGGCTTTATAACCTGCCCCCTTTGCACCTTCTCTTGGCTGCAGCAGTTGGAAGGGGGGCGTGTAACTCGGGCAGGAGGTGCTCCCAGGATCTGCTGCAAGGTGCCTTGGGGATCATTAGGATCACCTAACTGACTGTCCTTAAAATGAGTGTGTCCTTTCCTCTGCTTCAGAGGGGATGAGGTCAGGCGGGCCCTGCTTAGCCATGAACTTGGCAGAGGGGCCAGAGGACACTAGAGCTATTCAGACATTGTTTGGTACTGCCTTTCATTTTTACCAGTATTTGGGAGTCAGAGGGTCTTAGGGGCCATCCCACATCTTCATTCTGCCCTGAGGGAGAAGAAGGCAAGGGTTTCTCTGAGTTCACAGTGAACCTGGCTTTGCCTAAAAGTACTTTGCACTGCCCGAGTGTGTCCCCTGTTTCCCTGCTTCCATTTGTTGTAGAATGGCTGAAGCTGTGGTTCCCTGTTCTCTTCACTTGCCAACCTTTATTTTCCTCCCATCGTACTGGGGATTGAACCCAGGGCCTCCCACATATATGCTAGGCAAGCACTCTGCCTCGGAGCCACACCCCAGCCCATTTTTTAATTTTGAGACAGGGTCTGCCTAAGTCATTCAGGCTGGCCTTGACCTTGCAGTTCCCCTGCCTCAGCTTCCCCAAGTCACTGGGATCACATGTGTGGCCACCATGCCAGCTTCGTCCTGCCAAGGGGAAGGCAGGATGAGTTGCAACCTAGCCCAGTCCCTCAGCCCCTGGGTGACATTCCCACCTAAAAAACAGGGAGGGGACGGTCACAACTAACATGCTGAGCACTTGTTTAGTGCCAGGCTGGTTCTGTGCTGTGGGAATTCTATCCTCCTCTCTCCCTCCTGGTCTCATGTCCTACCAGAGGATGTAACATCCTGTCCCGGGAAGGGATGACGTTGGTGGGCGGAGGAGCTGGAAAGGGCTGGTGAGGGGTAGCCTCCTCCTGCTTGCCCTTCGCCTGGATCACCCCCTCCCTGTCACCACACAGTCCACGCTAACTTTCCTTCTCTCTCTTTCCCTAGAGACAAGAGGAACAGCAGCGACACCGCCCCTCACCCTGGAGGGTCTTGTACAATCTCATCATGGGACTCCTGCCCTTACCCAGGGGCCATGGAGCCCCAGAAATGGAGCCCAATTAGGTGCCTGCACCCGCCCGGTGGACGTCGGGGACTTGGGGGGCAGGACCCTCCCACCTCCTGATGCCCTGGCCAGCGCGGGGGACTTTTTCTGCACCATGTAGCATACTGGACTACCAGCCCTGCCTGTCCCAGGGGCGGGCTGGGCAGCCACTCCAGCCCCGGCCCAGCCTGGGCGCAGTGATGGAGAAGTGGACTCCTGGGCCCCTGGCACAGCCGCCAGGGGAAGGAGGGCTGAAGGACTCAGCCTCAGAAGGCGGCGGTGACTGAGGGGGTGGGGACTGAGCCACCTGCCTCTGCCGCCCATCACCATCTCAGGAAAGGCTGCTGGTGCTGGCTGCCCGTTCCAGCTGCAGGGGGGACGCTGGGGGCCTCCCCAGTGCTCCTTCACTTTGGGCCTGGCCTCAGGCCCCTGGTGCTTCCCCCCCTCCTCTTGGGGAGGGGGCCCATGAAGAGCAAATGAGCCAAACGTGACCACTAGCCTCCTGGAGCCAGAGAATGGGGTGTGTCTGATGGCCTCCCCAGCCTAGCGCCCAGCCATCTTCCCTGAGCCGGCCGGCGGGTGGCGGGCTCGCCTGCCTCACCTTCATCTGGGGGTGGCCAGGAGGGGCCCAGACTGTGAATCCTGTGCTCTGCCCATGACCACCCCCGTCCCCATCAATCCCATTGCATAGGTTTAGAGAGAGCACGTGTGACCACTGGCGTTCATTTGGGGGGTGGGAGACTTTGGCAGAAGCCGCCCCAGCCTTAGTCCCCAGGGCCAAGCGCTGGGGGGAAGACGGGGAGTCAGGGAGGGGGGGAGTCTCAGAAGAGGGAGGAGTCTGGGAGCGGGGAGGGGTGGCCCAGCCTGTAAAATACTGTATATGCGCTGCTGTAGATACCGGAATGAATTTTCTGTACATGTTTGGTTAATTTTTTTTGTACATGATTTTTGTATGTTTCCTTTTCAATAAAATCAGATTGGAACAGTGGATACTCTTTCTGCTCGCCTTCCCCATAGCCTAGCATTAGACCTCTGCCACCACCTCTGAGAGGTGGGAGAGAAGCAGTGTCCCTGGCACTCACCCAGGTCAGGGCAGCTGTAACCCTAGCACACGAAGAATGTGGCCCAGTGCAGCCTGCCCAGCCTCCGCAGTCCTGACCAACTCCCTCCAAAGCAGAGCCCCTGGAGGTTGGGGCTTCAGGTTTCTCCTCATTTATTCCCAGGATAGAGGGTCTGTAGGGGCTCCAAATTTATTGAATGGATGAATGACCCATAATTTATTCAGAAGCACCACTGTCCTAAGTGCTGGGACACACTGGTCATGAGACAGACCTTCTTCTGGCCCCCAAGGAGGTAGAAGGTGACATCCAGTCAGGCACTGTGATCAGCCTTAGGCTGCCTCTCTGGCTGGAGGTGCAGGACCAGCTAAGATCAGCAGAAGCCAGTGTAGCATTGAAGTTAGAAAGGACAGTTCTTAGCCCAGACTTGGTGACACATGACTGTAACCCAGTGACTTGGAAGGCTAAGGCAGGAAGATCGCAAGTTCAAAGCTAGCCTCAGCAACTTAGTGAGAACTTGTCTCTAAATATGAAAAAAAGGACTGGGGAATAGCTCAGTGGTTATGCACCCCTGAGTTCAATCCCTGGTCCCAAATAAAATAAAAATAAAAAATTAAAAGGGTTGGGGATGAGGCCAAGTGGTAAGGCATCCCTGGGTTCAATTCCCACTACCACAAAATTTTTTTAAATAAAATAAACTGCAGGCAGTCAGGCACAGTAGTGCACACCTATAATCCCAGCAGATGGGGAGGTTGAGGCAGAAGGATCATGAGTTTTAAAGTCAGCCTCAGCAGTTTAGCAACCCTGTCTCAAAAATAAAAAGGGATAGGCTGGGGTTGTGGCTCAGCGGTAGAAGGTTCGATCCTCAGCACCACATAAAAAATAAATAAAACAAGGTATTGTGTCTAACTAAACTAAAAACTAAATATTAAAAAAAAAAAGGGGGGGTGCTGGGGATGTGGCTCAAGCGGTAATGTGCTCGCCTGGCGTGTGTGGAGCACTGGGTTGGATCCTCAGCACCACATAAAATAAAAAGATGTTGTGTCCACCGAAAACTGAAAAATAAATATTAAAAATTTCTCTCTCTCTCTTAAAAAAAGGGGGGGGGGGGGGGGGGACATGGGGATGTGGCTCAGTGGTTTAGTGCCCCTGTGTTCAATCCCCAGTACAAAAAAACTAAGAGATACAATTAAAAACCAAATGCTAAATTTTGTTTATTTTGTGATACTGGGGATACAAACATAATTGAAATTCTAGAAATTATTCAAGTAATCCCAGAAGGCAGGGTAGGGTAGGGTAAACAGGAACAAAAATGGGAAAGTAGAATGAATTTGGGGTTTGCCAAGTTCAACCATGCCAATGCTTCACGAAACAGCGCTAAGAAGGGCAGGCAGCTGGGGGAGAGGCATCCTCTGCCAGGACAGGAGCCTGTGCCATGGCGAGGGCTGACCAGGGCTCTGGTGCTAGACCGGCTGGGTGTGAGCGCTCACTGTGCAGTCCAGGCCCTGGCTTTAAGTATGAAGCAAGAAGACAGATCTCAGGAATGATAAATACCCGGAGCCTGCTGTCATATCTTCTTGCCTTTCTTTCTCACTATTATGTGTTGCTTTTTCCTGTTCACTGCAGTTCCCACTGCACAGTAGCCCACGCTTACCATGGGGACACACTCCAAGACCCCCAGCGGATACCTAAAATCGCGGGCAGCAGCCTTTACATACACACCTAAGATAAAGTGTAAATTGTGAATTAGACACAATAATAGACTCAGAAAATACCTAATAAAATAGAACAATTATAACAATAAACTGTAATAAAGTTGCCAGCATCACTACTCTTATACTTTGAGGTTATTATTAAGTAAAATCAGACTTACTTGAACATAAGTACAAGATTCTAAGACAGTGGATCTGATAACTGAGATGGCTACTGAGGGACAATTGGCGGCACATTTAATGTGAATATGCAGTGACTTTTTTTTTTTAAAGAGAGAGAGAACTTTTAATGTTTATTTTTTAGTTTCCAGCGGACACAACATCTTTGTTTGTATGTAGTGCTGAGGATCGAACCCGGGCCGAATGCATGCCAGGCAAGCGTGCTACCGCTTGAGCCACATCCCCAGCCCCATATGCAGTGACTTTTGCTTTAAATGGTCATATAAAGGGGCTGGGGATGTGGCTCAAGTGGTAGCGCGCTCACCTGGCGTGCGTGCGGCCCGGGTTCGATCCTCAGCACCACATACAAACAAAGATGTTGTGTCCGCCTAAAACTAAAATAAATAAATAAATAAATATTAAAAAAAATAAAATAAAATAAATAAATGGTCATATAAAAACCAGGAAAGGTGCTGGGTGTGGTGGCACATGCCTGTAATCCCAGCAGCTCCAGAGGCTGAGACAGGAGGATTCCAAGTCCAAAGCCAGCCTCGGCAATTTAGCAAGGCACTAAGCAACTCAGTGAGACCCTGTCTCTAAATAAAATACCAAAATCGAAATCAGGGCTGGGGTTGTGGCTCAGTGATAGAGCACTTGCATAGCATGCGTGAAGCACTGGGTTTGATACCTGGAACCATATAAAATTAAACAAATAAAATAAAGGTATTGTGTCCATCTACAACAACAACAACAAAAAAAAAAACAAAACAAAAAAATTGGGCTGGGAATGTGGCTCAGTGGTTTGAGTGTCCCTGAGTTCAATCCCAAGTACCAAACAACAACAACAACAACAAAAACAGGAATGTTAGTGCTCATCTGTAATCCCAGCGACTCAGGAAACTGAGGCAGAAGGATCATCACACATTTGAGGCCAGCCTCAATCTCTCTCTCTCTCTTTTTTTTTTTTTTTTGCTTGAAACAGTACAAATTTATTACCTTATAGTTGTAGACCTTACAATTTTAACAGGGGTCTCACTGAGCTAAAATCAAGACTTTTGTTTATTAAATTAACTTTACAGTAGAATGCATTTTGACATATAGTATAGTCTCAGTATCTTAACAAGACCCTGTCTAAAAAAATTAAAACGGGCTGGGGACATGGCTCAGTGGCTGAGCACCTCTGGGTTCAACTCCTAGTATTAAAAAAAAAAAAAAGTATATTTCTGGGGCTGGGGCTGGGGCTCAGTGGTAGAGCACTTGCCTAGTACTCGTGAGGCACTGGGTTCGATCCCTGGCACCACATACAATAAACAAATTAAATAAAGATATATATATATATATAGTATATATTTCCAAGAAATTAAGAGAAAAAAAAGGATTTAAAAAAAATTCTAGAGGATTGTCTTAAATCCTATAATATTTTATCTGAAACAAACAAATAAAAACTTTCTCCATTTATTTACCATTTCCAGTGATCTTTTACCCATCTTGAAGTTTCTAGTTTTTCCAGATATTATTTCCCTTCAGTCTGAAAAACTTCCATGTAGTATTTCTTGTAGTGTCTTTCTGCTGGCAACCAATTTTCTTAAGTTTTTCTTTTCTTTTCTTTTTTAATCTCAAATTATCTATTTCAACACCTTGCTGGATATTTTTACTGATTATGAAATTTCTGGTTGTGGCGCACCCTGTAATCCCAGCTACTCTGGGGGCTGAGAGAAGAGGATCACAAACTTAAGGCTAGCCTCAGCAACTTAATTGGGCTTTTTTGTTTGTTTGTTTGTTACTTGGTATTGAACTCAGGGGCACTCGACCACTGAGCCACATTCCCAGATGCTGATGCTCTGTCTCAAAATAAAAAGAACTGGGGATGTATGTAGTTCAGTGGTAGAGTGCCCTGGGTTCAATTCCCATTATTAGAAGGGGAAAGAAAAAACAAAAAAAAACGGAAAAAGACTTGGGTGGAATTTGTGCGTCAAAGATTAGTACCCTCCTTGGAGATCTCCTTTCCAGAATTTCCTCTTTGCTTTCCAGCAATTAAGATCACTCCAGCCTCCACCTTTGGTTCTGCACACCAGTAAGGCAACTGGGTTTCCACCTGAGTTTTACTCGGGGGCTGGACTGCATGGGTCCTCAGGTTAAAGTTGCTGAAAAATCAACCAGAAACCAAAATACTAACAACAACAAACCCACCAAAGCCAGGCGGTGGTGCACATGTGTAATCCCAGAGGCTTGGGAGGCTGAGTAAGGAGGATCGCCAGTTCCAGCTTCAGCAATGGCGAGGCCCTAAGCAACTCAGTGAGACCCTGTCTCTAAATAATATACCAAATAGTGGGCTGGAATTGTGGTTCAGCGGCAGAATGCTTGGCTTGCATGTATGAGGCACTGGGTTCGATCCTCAGCACCACATAAAAATTAATAAATAAAGGTGTCATCTACAACTAAAAAAATATTAATAAGAAAATACAAAACAGGGCTGGGAATATGGCTCAGTGGTTGAGTGCCTCCAATCCCCAGTACCAAAAAACAGAAAACAAACAAAAAAACCCACAAAAAAACCCCACAAGATACTCACACAGTGTTGATCTCTTCTTGCAAGTAGCTGGGTTTTGGTTTTGGTGTTAGTTTTATTTAGAATGTCTAGTTATCTGCAGGAGGGTTCTCTGTTAGGAGTTCACTCCACTGTAGCAGACACATAACTACTCCTTCCTCTTCCTTTTTTTTTTTTTTTTTTTGGTGGCACTGAGGATGGAACCCAGAGCCCAGCACATGCCAAGAACATGCTCTATTGCTGAACCACACCCTCAGCCCTGCCTCTTCATTTTCATAGAACCAAACCTATCATTTCCTAGGACTAAAAGTGGAAAATTCCCAGCACCACCACCACCAAAAAAGAGGCAGACTCAGTTAGAGAAGGCCATGTTTTTGTCTGCCAAGTCCAAAGGGCTCCTAGAAAACAAAAATGAGGGATTTCAAACAAAAGAGGGGATATCTAAAGTCATCTATGTCTTCTCCTTTGGAACCAGGATGAGGCTCAAGGATCTCAGCCAAGCCACCACTACATGTGAACTCAACCTCTGGCAAGCTAATACCAAATTTGTTCTGCCTCCAAATGTTCCCATCCTGCAGTGCTTGCTTCTGGAAAAGGAAGACTTTCTCTTACCATTTATATACTTTTCCTTCCTTAAAAAATATGACTTTTGGGGCTGGGGTTGTGGCTCAATGGTAGAGCGCTCGACTAGCACATGTGAGGCCCTAGGTTTGATCCTCAGCACCACATAAAAATAAGTAAATGTACTGTGTCCACCTACAACTGAAAGAACCCCAGGGCCTTGCTCATGTATATGAATTTGTATGCTGTTTTTTGACTGTTTGTTTTTTTCAGGACTGGGGATTGAACCCAGGGTCTCACTCATGTTAGCCAAGTGCTCTACCACTGAGCTGTCTCCAGCCCCGTTTTTCTTTTGAGACAGGGTATTGCTAAATTGCTGAGGTTGATCTGGAACTTGGCATCTTCTTTCCTCAGCCTCTCATCACTGAGAGTGCCAGTGTGCATGGCTACATTGAGCAATTTCTTTTTCTTTTTAGCATTTTTACTTAAAGAATTAACTCAATTCCTACATATCTGAATACATGATGTGTTTTCCTCTGGTGCTGGTGATTGGATCCAGGGCCTGGAGAAAGCTTAGCATGCACTCTACCACTGAGCTACACCCCAGACCCAGAATATTATACTGACTTCACAGTGGGAGAAACTGAGGCACCAAAAAATACTTACCCAAGGTCACCCCGATCAGATAGGTGGTGACTCCATGATTGAACCTGGCCATCTGGAAGGATTCCTGCTCTACAGTTATCAGAGCGACCTTCTTGGGAGATGTGAAAGTGGATAAAGCTAACATGTTCAGAAAGCATCTCTAGATTTTCTCCAAAATCCCGAGTTTAGTTGTAAGGTCAGCTGCTCCCGTTATGTGGCCAATATTGCGCTAACAGGCTGAATAATACAGTGGAGAGAAACCTCACTTCCTGGGTTTGTATATTGCTTAATGTTTTATAAGCTTAAGAACAAAACCCACCTGACCTTCTGGACGTGGCTGAAGGCTTCCCTCAGCACTTGGGGCTAAGTGATGTTTGGCAGGGACGTCTAGATCTCCGGATCTTGTAAAGGTAATACCCTAGTCTGCCCATTCTCATTAAGCTAACATGACTGCTGGGACACTGGGGACTTCCTAGTGCATCCTACATAAAAGGCTTCCCAATCTGCCCTTCTTCCATCCCTTATTTGTGAGATGAGGTGTGGTTTTCTTCTTTGCTATTTGAGTATAACAGCTGTGGAAGTTTATTATTTTTTTGTACCAGGGATTGAACCCTGTGGGAGTTGGGGTTAACCATCCAGCCACATCCCCAGCCCCCCCTTTAAAATTTTTTTTTAGTTGTTGATGAACCTTTATTTTTTATTAATATATGGTGCTGAGAATTGAACCCAGTGCCTCACACATGCCAGGCAAGCGCTCTACCACTGAGGCACAACACCAGCCCCCCAGCCCTTTTTAAATATTTTGTTAGAGACAGGTTCTTGCTGAATTGCTTAGGGCCTCATTAAAATGCTGAGGCTGGATTTGAACTCGTGATCCTGCCTCAGCTTCAGGAGCTGCTGGGATTACAGACATGCACCACTGTGCCAGGCTGCACTGCAAGTATTTTAAGATAGCAGGCAGGTAAGCGTGGAATTAAATGAAGGGCTGGGAATGTAGCTCAGTGGTAGAGAACACCTGGACTCACAAACACCCCCCACTACCACCACCAAAATGTAGGACGGGACTGGAGGGACTGAGAACTTGGGGACCGAACCTAGGAGCACTCTACTACTGAGCTACATCCCCAAACAGCTGGGAATACAGGCTGGTGCCATCACACAGGGCCCAAGACTAAGAAATCTTTATCATGTTGTAGTTTTGTACATTTGCAGGTAGTTTCCACCCCGACCTTAACAGTTTGAACCCAAGGACACTATCACCAAGCATCATCCCGTTTTTTTTTTTTTTTTTGGTACCAGGATTGAACCACAGGGGCACTAGGCCACCGAGCCACATCCCCAAGCCCTATTTTGTATTTTCTCTAGAGAAAGGGTCTGAGTTGCTTACGGCCTCGATAAATTGCTGAGGCTGGCTTTGAACTCAGGATCCTCCTGCCTCAGTCTCCCAAGCTGCTGGGATTACAGATGTGTGCCACCACACCCCAATCCGGCCCTTTTTATTGCCCTAACCTCCCAAGTAGCTGGGATGAACTTGTACCACCCCTCCCAGCTGCCCATGGTTTTTGGGTAGCAACTGTCCTCTAACACACTTTGAGGCTTTAATAGCCTTAACACTTTGAGCACTTGAGAGCTGGCTGCTATACACACCAGAAACATCAGTGTGGTGTAAGTAGGAACCTGGCAGCCCCAAAGACAGCTCATTTTTTCTTTCATTTGGATTCTAGCACCTCTGCAGGTCAGACCCTCCTTCCCAAGTCGGCGATATACCTTCCGGAGGTACTAGAAACCAACCACAGGTTGTGCTCAGTGTTCTGGAAAGATAGTGAATGTATTTTTATATTTCCATTTTAAGAAAGCAGAATATTTCTTGCCCAGGGCTGGCAACTTCAAGCACTGTCCCTCCTGCGCCCCAATTCCCAATTCTCTCTGGGTGACTCAATCTCTTGCCATTAAGAGGTACAGGGAAGAAAAGTTTGAAAAGCCTCAAAGATTGCAGTTTTGCTTTTAATCTGCTCAGGCCCACCTCCGCCCCCTTGTGACCAAGGCCATGCATTGCAAAGCCTTAACACTTTTATAATTAGCTAAATATGTGAAAGATCCTGGGAGATTCCGGCAGCAGTGAAATTGCTGACCCAGCCCCATGAATAGTGTTAACGGTGCCCAGAACAGAAGCCCGCCCTAAGTATGGCTTCTGCTTCACCCAGCACAGGAGCAGGGTACAGAGGGCTGCGGAATCTAGTTCCTCTTCTCAGTGGAGACCAGATCTCTCCCACTGACCCAGCAAGACAATAACAGAACTGACTTGTTCAAATTGCAGACTATTTTACCTCGAGGAGGCAGGCAGGAGCTGGATCGAGATCAAATGGAACACTGGGTTGACGAGCAGCTGGTGTTCAAGGCGCTGCTGCCCCTTCCCACCTATGGTGTTTGCAGTGCAGTACCTAGGGGCTTTTTTTGCCCCTACAGAGGATGGACATGCCTGCTAGGCAAGTCCTCTACCAGAAAGCTATACCCTAGGGTTCCTTGATTTTGAGACAGAGTTTCACTAAGTTGGCCAAGGCTGGCCTTGAACTTGTCATCCTTCTCTACCTCTGCCTTCTGCGTCACTGGGGTTACAGTTGAACCAGGATGCTGCTTACCTTTCAACCGGAGGTCACCCATTCTTGCTCAGCACAAAGTTGCACAGAGAATCCAACAGAAGCATTGGCATCATCTGTTTGACTTCGTTTTCATTATCATTACTAATCTTTGCCACTAAAAACAGCCACTATTTAGCTGAATTATTCAACAGAAATCTGGGACCAGAAGCATGTACATGTTCTAGAATTCGAGCAAGCCAACTCTTGTTCCATTAACCAGGATAAGTGTGGTAGGAACAGTGACAGAGGGAGAAATCTGAGACACTGAAAGTGCATTAAGTGCTATTTCTTAAAACAGGCAATTGGCACAATCAGCCTGTCAGAAGTTTCTGAAGTGAAAGAAAACCACACGAATCCTAAGGCAAATAACTTTATTATCTTTCCTTATTAAAGAACCAAGGAACATGTAAAAAATATGTAAAACAGCAATAGATACAATTCCAGGGGTAAATGAAGGACTGATACAGCCCTTAAATACAAGGGTCTGTGCATACCAGTGATGGGGTCTGCCAATGGCAGAATCCTCCTCCCCAGACTAGGAGTTCTGCCGGGACCCAGGTAGGTATCTGCCTTTTTATTTTTTAATTTTTGATTTTTTAAAAAACAGTACTGGGTACTAAACCCAGGGACACTCTACCACAGAATTATAACTGGAACCCTTTTTATTTATTTTTTACTTTGACATGGGGCCTTGTGAAATTGCTGAGGCTAACCTTGAACTTAGATTCTCCTGTCTCAGCCTCCTGAGCTGCTGGGATTACAGGCCTGTGCCATCATGCCCAGCTTAAATCTACCTTTTTGAAACAAGCTCTCCCACTAATATTTAACTTAAAAGAGAACTTGGCAATATTTCTTCCCTTCCACAATCCAGGCTGGAACTTGACTAATCCCAAACTAAAACTAAAGAACTGCACACCAGACGCCACCTGTTGTTTTCATGATCTCAAACTCTGGAGGAAGTACATTCCGCCCGTCGTGTTTTTTCTAAGGGCACCTGTCTGAATTTGGTACTGTGGTTCCACTTGAGTGTCATCACTGGGCCTGGGCCTCATTCCCCACCTGAAGCCGTGTCCCTCTCATATGACACCAGATGGGGAACAAGCCTAAGAAGGAGGCAGGAGGCTCCACAGGCCTGAGGCTCCTGCAGGCTCTCCGACAATGCCCTAGAGGATGGGCTGCGCTTTAACAGGATGAGTATACAGATGTTAGAGGGGTGGTTTGAGGTGATAGCCCTGTGGGCAGCAAGCAGGCCTGTGGTGGCCAAAGGTTCCAAATAGTACTGAATGAACATGCCCAGTCCCTGTGCCCCTGCCCAGCAACTGCTGGCAATGGAAGCAGCATATCTGCACACCTCCCTGCCTGCAGGAGATGCTCTGTAGGAGTCCATGACTCCATTCTTCCCTGCTCCGGAGATGCCTTTGTGGAGGGAGGGGGAGGGAAATACATGTGAGCATGCTTCGGTCAATGTCTCTGGGGCTGCCAAGTCTTGGACTCACTTGGGACCCAGACACTCCACAATCCCATTTCCCTTCATGCCATCAAAAAAGAAGAAGTTGTTGTGAGGAGGGTCCCTCTGAGACAGAGCCTGGGGAGAAAAACAAAGAAGGTTGAGCTCAAGTGCTTTACCTACCTGCTACACATGCAGCACTGGGGACTGTACTCGAGGACTTTTTTTTTTTTTTTTTTTAGTTATTAATTATGTGGTGTTGAGGATCGAACCCAGTGCCTCACACATGCTAGGCGAGCGCTCTACCTCTGAGACACAATCCCAGACCCTCGAGGACTTTAAAAGTGATAAATGGAGGGGAAAAAACATACTTCTAAAAAATGAAATAAATGCAGTGTAGGGTAATTGTTCTCAATCTGGATTGACTGTACTCCTCAGGGGGGTATTCTGGCAATGTCAGGAGGCAATTTTGATTGTCATTTCTCTTTGCTTTGTCTCTAGCCAGCTGTGTCCTTGGGTGGATCATTTAACCTCTGAACCTTACTTTCTTCATATATAATGAGTATTACAAGTTTATTAAGCTGGAGATCAAAACAGATGATGTACCTCAAATACTTAGAATGATGCCTGGCTCAGAGTAACGCCACGAGGCAATGACAGAAATAATTATGACCATTCAGCTAAGAAAGGCAGCACTGCATTCCAACTTTCCTTGGGCTGCAGGCTTTACAACTTGAAGGGACACATTTAACTGAAGGACACAAAGATGTAGAAGGAGGCTCCTTCATGAGGACACAATGTAGCTGCTCTCCCACAGGCCAGGCCAGGCCAGGGCTGGAATCCAGAAGGCCCAGGTGATGTCAGCCAGCCACAGAGACCATCATCTTGTGGGTGAGACAATGCACATTTTTAAAATGGGGTCACTCCTTGAAGTCACATGCGGAGTCACACATGTACATACATTTTTCTAAGAAAAGGTTCATAGGTGATAGCAAAGCTTTACAGAGGTGACCTCCTTGAGGAAGTCAGAACATCCTGAAAGGCTCTCCCTTCTTTGGCGGGGCAGGGTTTATCAGGGATTGAACCCAGGGGTACTTAACCACTGAGCCACATCACTAGCCTTTCCTAATTTTCTTTTTTTGGGACAGGGTCTCAATAAGCTCCTCAGGGCCTTGCTAAATTGTTGAGGCTGGCTTTGAACTTGAGATCCTCCTGCTTCAGCCTCCAGAGCTGCTGGAATTATAGGCCTGTGCCATGGCGGCTGGCTCGAATGGCTCCTCTTTGAACTATGCTCTATTCCCTACACTGAGAACCATTCCCATTCTGTTTCTTCAAACTATATAAAATGGGGGCAAGCAGATACTTGATTATTCAGCCAAGCAAAATTTGTTAAGCATCTACTCTTTTCCAGGTACTGCCCTAGACAGACATTACAGACACTGAGAAGGTCCCTGCCCACAGGGAGCTTTGATCAAGAAGAGGTCTGCTTCTCTAGGTATGCACATAAATGAGCAGATAAACAACATCTACCTGCTAGTTTCTGGTAAGGATGAAATGTAACCAGGCTTGTAGCATGCCTGGCAACTAGGATATTCTCAACTGTGAGCTGTTCTTACTAAGGGGGCCGGGGGTCCTCTGTCAATGGGTATGTGGCAGGTGGAAAGGCCTAACACACCACACTTGGAATTCCTAGACCCCTGAACCAAGTTACAGGTTATCAATACTGGCCTTGAACTCCAGAGTTCAAGCAATCCTCCTGCTCTAGCCTCCTGAGCAGCTGGGACTATAGGCATGTGCCACCACGTCCAGCTTAATTAACTTTTTTATGTGTGTGTGTGTGGTACTGGGATTGAACTCTGAGCCTGTGTATTCTATTAAGTGGTCTACCACTGAGCTCCATCCTGAGACCTTTTTTATATTTTGAGACAGGGTCTCATTAAGTTGCCAAGGATCAGGGCTGGGGTTGTGGCTCAGCAGTAGAGTGCTCACCTAACACATGCAAGGTGTCCCTGGGATCAATTCTGAGCACCACATAAAAATAAATAAAGGTATTGTGTATAACTACAAATAAAAAATATTTAAAAAAAATAAAAATAAAAAGTTGCCCAAGATGGTCTCAAATTTGTAATATTCCTCCAATGAGCTTCTGTAGTAGCTGGGATAGCAGGAGAGTGACACTGTGCCTCTCTTGGTCCATTTTAACATGGAGCCTGGGATAGTGGCTAGGCTTTCACTACCACCTCTACTACTATGGGGATGGAGACCTGCTATAGGGACAAAGGAAAAGCAAAAATAATTTTTAAAAAATTTTTGTAGGTGCTGCAGTCAAACCCAGGGCCTCAAGCATGCTAAGCAAGCACTTTACCATTGAGCTACTTCTCCAACACTCCAAGAATGACTTGGAAGCATGACATGACACCTGTATCTGGAAGCATGTGACAAAGGAAGAAGTGAAAGACAATCCCAAGGGGATAGACATCTACCTTTGCCCTCCCGTTCCTAATGCTTACTCATCAGGTGCTGAGATGATGGCCTCAACTTGCAGGACCCTCTACAGATGGCTGAGGGCAGGAAGGATGGTAAGTGATGGGGAGCAGTGGGGACAAGAGACTGGGGGGGGGCCCTGGGATGAACCCAGGGCAAAAGGTAAAGTGCTTCCCAGCAGGACAGGGTAGGAGGAGATTCCAAACACACCCAGCAACCAAGAATGCAGAGTACTCTGGCTATCTGGGATAAACAGAAACAAGATGCTGGGCAACAGCTGTCCCCAGCAGGCAGGAAGGAGGGGGCAGCATTAGGACTAAGATGCACAGAAGTCACTGCAAACAATGAGGTCAAGGCCACCTGCCCTCACATCCACTCTCCACCCCACAGGAAAAAAAACAGAGAGCAGCTTCCCAACAGACTGGACAGAAGCAAGGCTGAGGACCAGGGCAGGGCTCGGGTGGGGTGCCGTGGAGGGCAACACCTGAAGCCTGACTGAGTGCTCAGAAGCAATCACAGAAGCCAGACTGCCTGGCTCCACCACCTCTATTTTCTTCCTTTTTTTTTTGTTTTTTTAGTTGTAGATAAATAAAATGAAAGTAGATAGAAATGTAGATAGATAAAATGAAAGAGATGTGTGTCTGTCTATTTTTCTGTGGTGCTGAGGATCAAACCCTGTGCCTCACACGTGCAAGGAAAGCACTCTACCACTGAGCCAAAACCCTAGCCCGTCCTCCACCTCTTACCTTGGGCAAGAACCCCACCTGTTGTACCTCAGTTCTTCCTTTACGAATCATGGATCAGTAAGGCATAATTGTAATCCTGACTACTCAGAAGGTTGAGGCACGAGGATTCAAGTTTGAGGCCAGTTTGGGCAACACAGTGAGACCTTGTCTCAAAATAAAAAGTGAAAAGGGCTATGGATGTAGCTCAGTGGTAGAGAGCCCTGGGTCCAATCATCAGTACCACCTCCCCTAAGTAAATAAACAAATAAACCAGTGATCACAACTGCTTCTGCCTTGTAGTACTTGGCAAGTGGGGAAGTGGGTGTGGCCATAGCACACTTCTCTTCTCCCCCCTTTGAATCTTCTCAGCCCAGGACATAGAATTTGATTGGATTTGGGCAAAAGTAGAATCTAGTCCAAAGAGAAGAACAGGAAAGACGGGGGGGGGAAAAGAAAAACACCATAGGAAGATATGTGAGATTGTCCAATTGAAGCCAATGTCTGTAGAGCAAATTTACAGACTCCAAGACACAGTGGTGAGAGCTGGGTCTCCAACTGTCCTTCTAAGCTCAAATCTGACATATATATGAACAGGGGGAATCATTTAGCCAGGCGTAACTTTGCCCCATAAAAGAAAAGGACAAGTCGAGCGTGGTGACAAACACCTATAATCCCAGGCACTCAGGTGGCTAAGGCAGGAGGATCACAAGTTCAAGGCCAATCCAGGGTGAAACCCTGTTAAATAGAGAGGAGCTGGGAGAGCTCAGAGGTAGAGCACTTGCCTAGCACTTGTTCAATCACCTGTATGAGGAGAGGGGAGGAAAGGGATGGGATGGAAAAATCATTACTGCAAGTCCACCAACACAGGCAAGAAGCTGTGGGAGGCAAAAGAAAGAAAGAAAAGAAAATAGTAGTGATGCGGATCAAACCCAGGGACTTGTGCACGTTAAGCATGCATTTTGCTATTGAGCTATATATGCCAAGCCCCCCAAAAAGGCAAATTTAACACTGCCAAATAGCAAGACCCCAATGGAAATGAAATATATTTTGAAAAATGCTATGGTTTTGGCAACCCAAATATTCCAGAAGAGCTAAAAAGGCTGTACTAGTTATTGGCTATGTGACCCCTCAGGAGACATACCCTTTTGGTGTGTGGGTTAAAAAGGAGGAGTGGGTTTGGAATGGTGGTGTGGCTCAGTGGTAGAGCCCGTGCCTTGCATGTGAATGCCTGGGCTCCTTCCCCAGAATCACAAACTGGAGAAAAAAAGAGGCGGGGGCTTCGATTCATGGTGATGTATGGAGCTTAGAGCGAAAGTTTTGGAGTCCCTTTTTCTGAGCTTCAGTGTCCACCTCTTACATAAGGACCACAATGATACACATTGCACACAGCTGTGAGAAGAACTGGCAACTACACTAAGCAGAAGATACCAGCAGACAGCTCCTTGGTTCTCTCTGAGGTCACATATACAAAGTCATCATGCCCCTTCTTCTGCTCCACTGTGACTTTTTTTTGGTACCAGAGATTAACTCCAAGGGCACTTAACCACTGAGCCAATACATCCCCAGCCCTATGTCAAGACAAGGTCTCGCTAATCTTCCAACTTGCAATCTTCCTGCCTCAGCCTCCCAAGTCACTGTGATTATAGGCATGTGCCACCCATGCTTGGCTCTATTGTGACTTTTTACCTTCACAATTTCCTGTGCCAAGATCCCTCCAACCACTGCACACACTGGGGCCATCTCGGAGAAGCAGTACCTAAAAAGAGAGGACAAGTGAAACGCAGCACTGGGGAACAGGAGGGCTGATGTGATATCTGGAAGAGTTCAGAAGTGGGTCCACTGGAACAAACACATCCCACCAGGAAGAACCCATTCAGACAGCGGTTATCAATGCTGGCATCTAGGCGTGGAAGTTAAATCTGGCCCAGGGGTTGTAAATGGCCGGGAAAGACCTCTGTACTTTGGGAGGCAGGAATTCTTTCATACACAATTTTTTTTTTTTTTTTTTAAGTTAAAGGAAAGACTATATCTGTGCTTCCTAAAAATAAGGTCTTACAAATATGTTTCAGTACCCTGGTCACATTCTCACAATTCTCCTCTGACTATAATGGGCAGTGGGTTCTATATGCTATTCCCAAACAAATGCCAGGGAGGAGGCCTGTGTTAACATGTAGGAAGCATGGGAAATTTGGGGCCTGAAATTAAAGCACATGGCAAAATAACGTTTTACAACCCAAGCAGAAATCACCACTTCTGGAACAGGATGGGGCATCCACAGGACAATTTTTTGCTATTACTGTCACCTGGTACTTCAAATCACTCATCCTGGAAATTAGAACGTACTCACCACCTCTACCTCCCCAAAGGGAGCATGATTTGCCAGCTCCACCCCTCAACACAAAGGTATTTATTAACTCAGAAAACTGGGACACGACAAGTTACAGGAATCATCCTACCACCAAGGAGACCTTTGCCCTTTCTACTTAGTTGCATAATTCTTCAAGACATTTAAATAATTACACATGTCCAAACATACAATTTTAAACCTAAATATCAACATTTGTTCTGCAACATATTAATATATATTTAAACTGTTCAACACTGCAATCATGTATTTTGACAAGGCTATACAAATAACTCCTAAAAAGGCAAAGATTGGCGTAATCTCAGCAACTTGGGAGGCTGAGGCAGGAAGATCATAAATCGGAGGCCAACCTTAGCAACCCAGTGAGATCCTGTCTCAACATAATTTTTTTTTTTGGTTACAGGTGGATACAATGTCTTTATTTTATATTAATGTGGTGCTGAGGATCGAACCTAGTGCCTCACACATGCTAATGCTAGGCGAGCGTGCTACCTCTATGCCACAATCCCAGCCCTCAACATAAAATTTTAAAAAGGCTAGGGGTGTGGATAGTGGTAGAGCTGCTTACCTACCACATGCAAGGCCCTGGGTTCAATCCACACTTAAAAACAAAAATATATCAATGAAACAAAACAAACATTGCTACAAGAAAGAGAAATCTAAAATGTGGAATAAGGCAACCAGCCTCAACACCTTAAAAAAAAGAAAAAGTATCAGATAATAAATATTTTTGGGCTTACAGACATATAGTCTCTTTTATATAACTTTTTTCAAGTCCACTGACAGTATCACAACTACTATATAGATGATATGCAAATAAGTGTGCTAATAAAACTTTATTTATAAAAATAGGTGGCTAGCCAGTTTTTAATCTGTATTCTGGATTAACAGTAAAAGAAGCAAATGCAACAGATGAACTTTTATGAGATTTTTTTTTGGTACTGTGGATTGAACCCAGGAGCAATTAACCACTGAACCACATCCCTGGCCCTTTTTTGAGACAGAGTCTGCTAAGTTGCTTGGGGGCCTTGCTAAATTACTGATGCTAGCTTTGAAATTGTGATCCTCCTGCCTCAACCTCATGAGGCTGGGATTATATGCATGAGCTACCATGCCCAGCCCAAGGAAACATTTTAAAGACCCTTATATTTCTTTTTTTGGTTCTTTTGTTTTGGGTATGGGTGTTGAACACAGGAGAACTCTACCACTGAGCTATATTCCTAGCCCTTTTTTAATGTTTTATTTTTCAGACGGGGTCTCTAAATTATTAACGCTGGCTTTGAATGTGTAATCCTCCAACCTCCAAAATTGTTGGGATTATAGGCATGTGCCACCATGCCCAGCTCCTTCATACATATTTTTTAAAGTGTTTCCTGAGTAGCTCATACTTTTTTCAATTCTTCTTGCCAACAATGAATATTACAAGTAATTTTTAAAAAATTCACAAAGGATTTTGTTCATCTGACACATGATACGATATAATGGCATCAAATGGTCAATGCTTTTCTTTAGGTAATGGAATTATGAGTGACTTCAATTTTCATCTTTATGATTATGCTATAAAATCTGATTTTCCTATAATGAACTGGCAAGTTATTTATGTAATTTTGTGGAGGGGGAAGTTTGGCTTATTGTTTATGGTGTCAGGGACTGAACCCGGGGCTTTTTGCATGCTAGGAAAGCATCTACCACTGATCTATAGTCCCAGGCCTACTAACATAATTAAAAATAATAATAATAATAATAATAATTAAGTTATCAATGGACCTTAATTTTATTTATTCACATGCAGTGCTGAGAATTGAACCCAGTGCCCCACATATGCCAGGTAAGTGCTCTACAATTGAGCTACAACCCCAGCCCAATAATCTTAAAACCAGTAAGTGGGAGTATAGCTCAGTGGTAGAGTATATGCTTAGCATGTGTGGGGCCTTAGATTCCATCCTTAGCACCAAAACACCCCAAAACCAACCAAATAAAATACTAAACAAATCATTAAGTTCACAAATATTTTGTGATTTCACTTATATGAAATATTTAGAATAGTAAAAATAATGGTGGGGAGGAGGGAAGAATAAGGAGTTAATAGTGAATGTCCTTAATGTCAGTAAACTGTACACTGAGAAATGGTTAAAACAGGGCTGGGGATACATGTGGCTCAGAGGAAGAGCATGTGCTTAGCACGCTTGAGGCCCTGGGCTCAATCCCCAGCAATATAAAAAAATAAAAATAAAAATAAGTGTAATGGTTTATATATATCTTATCACAATAAAAAATTTTTTTCAACATACACTACAAACATGTTATATGGTACCAGGGATTAAAGCTGTGCGCTTCAGCACTGAGCTACATCCCATGATGTTAATTTATTTTGATACAGGGTCTCACTAAGTTGTCAAGACAAACTTTGCCCTTATACCCTTCCTGTCTCATTTTCCTGAGTATCTGGAATTACAAGCATGTACTACCATGCCCAAAGAAGAATTAGAAGCAATTAAATAACTATCAATAAAATATTGATTAAGTTAATGATCATATATCTAGAACACTGAAACTTTATGAAATACAAGTGACAGGCTTCTGTGTTTGTTAACATAAACAGCTCTGTGATATGCTGGGAAAGGCTATCAAGGAGCACAGACAGTAATGATCCATTTTGATATTAAAAAAGAGAAAATATAGCCAGGCATGGTGGTGCACACCTGTAATCCCAGCAGCTCAGGAGGCTAAGACAGGAAGATTGCAAGTTCAAAGCCAGCCTCAGCAATGTCGAGGCACTAAGCAATTCAGTGAGACCCTATCTCTAAATAAAATACAAGATAGGGCTGGGGATGTGGCTCAGTGGTTGAGGGCCCCTGATTTCAATCCCCAGTACCAAAAAAAAAAAAAAAAGTGTGTGAGAGAGAGAATATGTATGAATAAACAAAGAAAATCTGTGAGCCTAGACCCTGATATCTTAACAGTGGCTAGATTTATAAATGGTCCTTTTCTTCCATGTTATACTTTCTAGAAATGGGCATCTGTTACTTTCATAATCAGAAAAGCAATAAAGCTCTCTGAAAAGAGAATAAATAACGTAACATGAAGGAGACTGCCAGCAACTCACAGATGAAGGAAACAGAGACTTGTGCACAGTCCTCCCTGCACGGAAGCAGCGCCGGGCAATTTGTGAGGGTGGCTCAGCTGTGAAGCAGCAGCTCATTTCCTTGCCAGCACCCCCATCACATCTCAGGTCATTTCACCTGAGACAGGCTTCAAAAGGCCACCAAAAACCTCTTACTTAGAAAGCAATAGAGTGGGAGCTCTCAACATGTGACACCTAGATTTAGCTTTTTTTTTTTTTTTTTGGTAGCATGAATTGAACACTGGGGCTTTACCTCTGAGCTATATCCCCAATACTTTCGAGACAGGGACTTGATAAGTTGCCAAGACTGGCCCTGAATTTGTGGTCCTTCTGCCTCAGCCTCTCGATTTGCTGGGATTACAAGTGTGTACCACCATTCTCATAGAAACCTAGACGGGGGGAAGCAACTTCCACGAAGAAGATAGGCAAGGAAAGACAACACTGGGGCAGAAATTCCCAGCCAGCAGCTCCCTAGGCTGTGGCTAGTCTTTTCTGGAAAGCAGGGCCTTTGAAGAACTATGCTGGCTGGCACCACAGAGTCAGACAGCTCACCACTCTAGACACCCAAAGTAGTCCCTCAGCTGTGTACACCTCACAGCCCAGCACGAGACACCAGGTGTGCTGGGCTGGCTTTAGCCTGCCGCTGACTTCCTGGGTGCATCTGTTTGAAGTGAAGCCTGTCTGACTCAGTTCCCTCCTTCTGTGAAGAACAGAGTAGACTTCTCTCTGTGCTTTTTTTTTCTTCTTTTTAAAAAATATTTTGTTTTTAGTTGTAGATGGACACAATACCTTTATTTTACTTATTTATTTTTATGTAGTGTTGAGGATTAAACCCAGGGCCCTTGCACATGCTAGGCGTGAGCTCTACTGCTGAGCCCCAGCCCCAGCCCCTCTCTGTGCTTCTTATACAGCATTTTTTCCTCCACTAAGACATGAGTGCCTGGCTGAGTTAGTGAGAGACAGAGACCCCATCCAAGCCTGCAGTGCCATCAGCCCTGACTTCATGGTGCCAACGCTGCAGAAGCACCTTATGTAGACTGCTGTCGAGTTTTATACAATGGCCTTTTTTTTCAGAACTCTATAGGTAGTTTAGAAAGGAGGACACACTAACTGACTTTACTGTTAACCTTGTGAAAAGACTATCTTTTTCAGACAATTTCATCATTTAAATAAAGAGGAAATAATAACATACAATTCTAAGAGACTGATGAGATAATTCAATGCAGTAACACAATAGGTAAAGCATATAGTCTTCAATATCAGATGCTACTGGTAATAGGTACAGAAATTTGGACTAGTCACTTAACTTCTCTGAGGTTGATTTCCATACCTACAGAACGCATTGTTGAGAAGACAGAGACAGTGTATAAAAGCAACTACTAATGCCTGGAGTGTGGCAGCTGCTAGATAAATTGTAATGGATGACAGCTATCATTACCAGTGCTACAATCCAGGGGTGCAGCAAAGCTGCTGAAGCTCCCAGAGACAAAGAAAGGGAACTAGAATGGGATGATCCCAGAATTGCTTTTAAGGAGTTCATGATTTAGCCACCACGTGACCTTCTCTAACCAAATCCCAAGCCTGACTGTACGTGAGCAAAAGACTGGGGGACCTAAGGTGAAAATGCCTCAGTGCCAAAGATTAGGGTGCTGAGAACATGGACATCTTGGGTGGTGGATACACAAATTGACAGGCTAGAATGGTGGTCAAAGTGGCAATTGTCTACCAAACAATGAACTGCAACTTTGGACCCATAAGTTCCCCTTCCCACTCACTCATCCTGCAGCTGTACAAGGTCCCACACTGAAGCATCATGTGAGAACAAAACCCTGAACAAAATTCCATCAAGCAAGTGATTGGTTCACTAACACTATATTGGAAAAAAGGGAGTAAATTATGCACTGATATGAAAATGTCTCCCAAGAGATAAATGTATAGTGAAAATCAAGAGGTATAATACTGTTACTAAAGCTGCCTTGAATTTCAAATCATATAAATAGATCTTTACATACTGTCAAAAACAGAACCCGCAGGGCCAGGAATGTGGTGCAGTAGGAGAGCATTTGCCTAGCATGCATAAGCACTGAGTTCAACCCCCAAGATCATTAAAATAAAAAAAAAAAAAAAGAAAAAGATAAAAACAGAACATGTGCCTCTTTTACTTTTTATCTACTATTACACCAGTGGAAAGGCAGAGGCCTATAGGAGTTAGCAGAATGTGGCATAGGGAGCTTTCTTCAGGGCTTTGGAGGTCTCTATAAAGAATCTCCCCAAACTAAGGCAAACACGGAAACCAGGTGTTTCTCCATCTGAGCCAAACTTGACAAACACTGAGACAAACCTGACGAAGTCGTCGGGAAGCAAATCAGGATTAACACCCAATGAGTCAAGCACATCGTTTCGTATCTGGAGCAGCAACTCAGAATCTTCCCCATAGGTGTCAGAACTAGGATCTCTTCCTTTATCCGTGCGGAATTTCAGAAGCACTGACAAAGGGGAAAACAAGAGTTTATACACACAGTCTTCTCATAAGGAACATTCACGGATCTCAACTATCAAAACAAGTCTTTTTTCTATAGGAAGCAGTGTGTTAATTAAAATGTGGACCACGTGAGCTGATGGGAAGGGGCTGAGCATTCTCTCCTTGGCAGCCCCCAGTCTGCCCCTCCCCATCCCTGCTCCACCATCACCCCCAACACATTAAAAAAATACCCATAGCTCCACCTCAGCAGATGGCTGCAGAGATGGACAACAGGGAGGTATTTTGAGATACCTGGAAGAGGGGTACCCAGAAAAACAACAGAGGAAGTAGAAATTAGTTGGTCTTATTGCTCATTATGTATTCAAAGCCCAAGCAATCCTCGTTGGTCTCTTGTACCTGCTTTATGATACACTGTAGTGACTAGTAACTGCACTTTTGGTGTGTTTTGGGGGGGATGCTGGGGATTAAATCCAGGGGTGCTTCACCTATGACCACATCCCCAGCCCCTTGCTTTTTATTTTGAGACAGGATCTTGATAGGTTGCTTAAGGCATCATTAAATTGCTAAGGCTGACCTTGAACTTGTGATCCTCCTGTCTCAGCTTGCCATGTCACTGGGATTACAGGTGTGTGCCACTATGCCCAGGTCCCTTTTTTTAATGAAGTGTGCTGGATGTCTCTACAATTTTGTTCAGATGACTAAAGAACTTGGAAAAGTTGTTACTGCTATTGATGCATAACATACTGCTGTTATTGGTCTTTTACATTAACATATTACAAATATATCCACATACGGAATATAAAATATTAATAAAAACAATCTATGTGTAATTATACTATATTTTGAATATATTATAATTATACATAATTTGAATTTTTGAAAACTTCAGCTGTGCTGTCAACTTTGGAGAAAGTATCCTGGTTAACAGCCATACTGGTCTACAAATGTTACATTTAGTATTTTTTTTCCACTTACACAATAGAATAATAGGGTGCAAAAATATAAGGGGGTCTGACACCATCTGTAGGGCGGTATCAAGTTGAGGCTTCCCTGAGGATGCAACAAGTGAGCTCCATGTGTGCAGAAGCTTCCTGCAGAGGGCAAAGGTCCTATTATGACCAGAGGAGAGATCAGGAGGGAGGCACGTATTCTAGGCATTAGTTCAAACTGCTGCCTTCAGCCAGAAAGGCCAAATACTCAGACTGACTCATCGCACAGACAAGTCTCTACAAACAGAACCTCCCTTAATACAAAAACTATGTCAACCTCTAGAAATGGATGTTTAAAGGTTGTAAATAAGTTGAAAGTTTCCAATGATGGTGTTGAATAAGAGCTACTGTGTATGGAGACACCAACAAGGCAAGAACTTTCAGTCTAAGCAAAAAGACACAGACAGGAGCAGGATACTGATGATCTCAATGCAGGCATCTGCTACCACTGCACGTTGTCCTGTGTCCCCTGCATGCCAAATGCAGAGACATTCTTGCTTTTTGTGTAATCCCAAGACAGAAGGTCAGCTGGCTGTGAACCTTACCCCCAAGTAACACTTTCTCCTATAATCACAAGGCTATTTCAGACGGGATGTGTAGGCATGGGAGTGAGTTTCTTTTTTCTTTTTTGGCACTGGGGATTGAACTCAGGGGCACTTGACCACTGAGCCACATTCCCAGCCCAATTTTGTGTTTTATTTATGGACAGGGTCTCACTGAGTTGCTGAGTGCCTTGATTTTGCTGAGGCTGCCTTTGAATTCGGGATCCTCCTGTCTCAGCCTCCTGATCCGCTGGGATTATAGGAGTGCACCTCCATGCCCAGCTTGGGGGTGAGTTTCTAGGTGCAAGACCTGGGCGTACTTTATACTTCTTGTTCTCTTCTACAAGGATACAACTTCCAGAACCCTTACTACTTCCTAAATACTTGGCAGTCAACTCAAATCCAATATGGATCCTGGCCAATACTGTTCCACCATTATCCAAGTCTACCTTCTGACTCTGCAGATGAGTTGGTTATATCCCAATCTGCAGTATACAAATACATTGAAATAAGCATTTGGGGTCTGAGAAAAGACTGCAGTGGTGGCAGTTACTCAATTTGCAGCAAGACTTTTCTAGCATTGTCCCATTATACAAAAACCTCCAGAAATCTGCTAGTCCACCCAAACCAGAATACTCCAGTTGAGTCTGAGAATGCCAGCTACTATTTCTGTCAATGACTCCTAAGACAGGGCAACAAGATACAGCACTGCTATTAGTGCTGCCCCAACAGATGATAGAGGCAAAGACCACCCCAGTCTGATTGTACCACACAATCCTAGGCAAAGTGGCTTAGTGGAAACCAAGTGAGGATGCTTGCTTTCAGGTGTCTGGAATAATAGCAATAGAAGCCCCAGGCTGGTGGCCTCCCATACAGATTCTCTCATTTCTGGGTCACTGGGACAAAAGCACTGTCATAAGGGACCAAGAAATGTAATTTTTTTCAGCCTTCACCACAATTTTTTAACTTTTAGTTAGAAAGTATAGCTCCAGGAACCAGGTGTGGTAGTGCATGCCTGTAATTCCAGGAACCCAGGAGGCTGAGGCAAGAGGACTACAAGCTTGAGGCCAGCCGTAGCAACTTAACAAGGGCTTAAGCAACTTAGAAAGATATTCTCAAAATAAAAATAAAAGCCCAGACTGTTACAATACTTGTTTTGTACCATACATTACACTGAACACATTTCAAATATGAACACTCAGTCATAATCCATGAGATCAGTAAGTATCATCACCAACCTTATAAATAAGGAAATTCAAGTTCAGAGACATCAAGAGACTGCTTACTATAATTACTAAGAAGTAGTAAAGCACAAATGTAAATGTGGACCTGCCTTCTTCCATTAGGGAACATAGCACCAAGGGTTTCAGTGGTCTAGCTCTTTGTCCTCCACTTCAGAACCCTCATTTGAGCACATTTTCGTGAGATGCATTTTCCAGATTGACCTGAACTCTCACAATGGGAGCATTCATTGAGACTATTAGTTCAGTGGGTGTACAGTGGAGGTGACAGTGACATAAAATCTTGCCCGTCAATCTTCAGAGAATAAAACCAGCTTCATCTCAAAGATGGCACTAAGAGAAAGGGTGAAGGGAGGCAGCAGCTGGCCATGCTGGTTCTCTAGGCCCCTGGCCTGTTCCTGATGCAGTTTGTGTGGATGAGGGCCAGCAGGCTGGTACCAACCACATACCTCACTAACCACATCTTTAGTGCTCTCAAGGGCCACTGGGAAAGGGTCCAGTCGGTCAGGTCACTTACTTGCAGTAAAGCAAACAGAAGCCGTCTTTTTCACTCTTTTTCTAATGCCGGCCCTCCAGTTAACAGGGGTGGAGGGGGCAGGAAGAAACCCATGTTCTAGAAGTGTAGCAGTCCCAGGACTGACCCCAGCCCCTGGTAAGTTCTTGCTTATTAAATTCTCCTTCGTTTTGCTTTCTGCAGCTCCCTAACAGACAGACACAGACACATACACATCACTGTTGACTCTGTATTTCTGAAAGCACTTCCCCACCAGTTTACACATTATAAACCCATTCTGTTAAGATCAAACACTGTCAGGGATGGAAAGCGGCTGTGCCAAAAGATGACTCATCAAATCGTATCCAAACACCGCACAAAATTAGAGTTCCAAACTTGATTAACTTCATCTGAACCTTTTAATTAACTCAGGCTGTTGGAAGTCCAGGGGTGGGGGGTAACATCATTGCTGGAGATGATGAGTATGTCTCTGCTTAAGTTCAGGACTTGCCCATGTAGTGGAGAAGACAAATGTTGAAAATGAGAAAACAAGTACCTTTTCACATATGGACTGTATGTACATGAATATATCGCCACCTTTGCAAAACTGTTTGAACACTCACATTGATATCTGATCCAAATGCAGAACACCAGATTAGTGCTATTTTGGATGGCAATATTAATAATAAATGTTTCTTTCTAAAAGATTCAAATATGTGATTATAGGGACTGGGGCTGCAGCCCAAGTGGTAAAACTCGTGTGTAGCATGCATCAACCCCTAGGTGCCACAAAGCACCACAAAAAACAATTATATTATATTCAATGTAATAAAAAACTAAGTGCAAAATAACCAAACATTTTAACGGGGGGAAAATGAAGTAACAGTGTCATGAAGTAGCCCCAAACACAACTGCTGCCCTTCAAAATGGCTCAGTTTAGGTGGGGACAAGGCAGAACCTCCACTACAACCTCATTTACCTGACGGATGCCTAGTGCTTTTCTGGCTACAAAAAATCCTTGCTTGGATCTTTCCCTCTGCCCAGTTAGTTCAATTCGTCGGGACTCATTATTTTTAGAACCAATCTGGAAATGTGTTCCACTCTAACTCAGGCTCAGTGGAGCACACCTGTAATCCAAATAATGCGAGAGGGTGACGCAGGAGGTTCATAAAGTTTGAGGTCAGTCAAGCACCACCTGAAGAAATCACTCATCTGACTGTGTTACCAATGATTCAGCTGTGAGCTCTGGACAGGACACTCAACTCTTGCTGCCCCATGCACCCGAGGGTGAGGCACCATAGGTCCAGATGGCTGGCTGTCATGTACCCCTACTATAGGCCTTCCTTGGAGGAGGCTCTTAAAAAGTATCTGCTGTACAAGAAGCCTCAACATTTGGTGATGAAGGAAAAGCAGGAAAGAGGGTGCATAGTAAAGTGACACAAGAAGATCTTCACAAATCCACAGCAGGCTGCTCCTTTACTAATTCGACTGCTTAAGATATCAGAATGGTTCTGTTTCTTATCAAGTATTAATGTGTTAGTCATGGAAGCAGCAAGAAAAAAAAGACATACATATCTACCCACAAGAGGAAAACAAGAAAGAAATTCAACCCAGAAACGTTAAAGTACATGTGCACATCACAGCACAAACACATCCTGAGCACCAGGGCCACTCAGTACCTTGATCTCTTTTCCCAGGAAATTTACCTCCCTGGCCTCCCCCAAGACTTACTGTATAAT